GTGAGGGAGCTCTTCCCAGACTGCTGCGCCCATCAGCCCATCTTCACAGGAAACTGTCTATTATGGGGTGGCTACTCTTGTTGTACAACCCATCTTCCCTGGTGGGCTGAGAGTGGGGCCCCTCTTTAGCCTCCTCTGGTGTTTCTCCTCAGGGAACAGTAATGGGGAAGTGGTGGACTGGATGGACTCGACTGGGGAAGAAGTGAGCCTGTGGCAGAAGATGCGACAGTACCCAGGGTCTTGGGCAGAAGGGACTCTGCAGCTCCGTTCCTCAATGGCCAAGCAGAAGCTGGGTTTATGAGTCCCTGTCCTCTTCTGCAGGTCCAGCCCTGGCAAGGGCCAGGCAGAGGAAGTGAAGAAACCAAGAGCAAAGATTTATAATTTAATGTGTGTGTATAGATATGTGTGTGTGTGTGTGTGTGTACGTGTACAAACATGTATTTTCTGCAAATCTCATTATGCTGGCTAGAGTGATGCAGACTTGTTCTCCTTTTTAAAGCAGTCTCAAGAATAAGCATCTCTTCAAAATGTTTCTGTGTATAATCTAGTATATTTTCAGAGTCCATTTTTTCTTATGTCTTTATAAGGTTTACTTAATTTAAAAACATCTTTTAAAACAAGCTTTTATCTTCTGTCTTGCTATCATTGTTCCTACTTCCCTAGGAAACCCTGGCTACCTTTGGCATTAGGACCAGTCTGGGTTTTAAGGCTCTGGGAAGCAGGGTTGGGTTACTAAAGACAGAGGAATGTGGAGGAGAGGTGAGTAGTTCCTTCCTCTTTCTCCTCTCCAGTTTATGCTTTTAACTTATTTTCTACCTTGATAAACTTCTGGAACTTGGCTTTTAAATTTAACTGTTCTAGTTTTTAAGCAGTTTCCACCTTGCTTTGGTCTAATGCTTTTCTTTGAAATGCTAACAGAATTCCCAAGCTTTTTCCAGTTCTAGACATCTTTACTAGACCTTTGGGGGACTCTTATAATGGAGCTGCTTTAGAAAAGCACTTTAATTAGATAATGTATTTTGACTAAAAGTCATGAGCATGCCCAGTGAGAGCTTCTAGCTGATCTCAGAGGACTGGAGTGACTGAGGGTAAAGTGTCTCACAGCCCATGCTGAATTTTCTGTATTTTAAACTGATATTGCAGTCATTGGAGAGAGAGCTCCTCATTTCTCGAATGAAAGATGAGATATATTCATCCTCATGTGCCACATCTGTCTTAGTGTTTGTGTCTAGGGTGTGTTATCAGACAGCATGGTCTACATACCACTGTGTCAGTCAGAAGAACCAAGTGTTATCTCAACTGGCCCAGTGTTTCTCCAGGCTGGGGACTGTTAAGGGCTCTAAGGGAATGTAGACAGTCTCCCTGTGGTTCTGACTTCCTGCTTGATGAGCTTTCAGTTCCTGTTTTTGCTATTGTTTCCTAAATTTGACCTACATATTACATGGGTGTAGTGTGTTGAGGCTTTTCAAAGAAGGGTCTAGTGAGCTAAGTTTCATCTTCTGGTACTCACTGATTCAAACTGACCTTTCTGTTCTTATAAGCATTTCTAGCCAAAGTTGTGTGTGGAAGGAGTGTATAGCAGAGAGGAAATCCCTTTCAACAGAGTCAGCTGCTAACTGATTTCCTATAAGGACACTGGATTAAGGGCAGCTACAATGGTTTCTATTGTATGTATGAACCGAATGGAGGAATGTTTTCAAAGATTGATTTGGTGTGGATTGCAATTGTAATGGAAGGCATAACTTGGGATCCCAGGCTGTAACTTGCTCTTTTGTTTCCCACCCCCCGACATGTACGTGTGCTTTAATAAAGCTTTCTCACTTGTCAAATGTTTGCGTTAGTTCTATAAATGCTTTTGTCTCTGATGTCCCAACTCACTGTTGCTTTTCCCATGGCTTGAAGGATAAGAACCAAAGTGATAAATGCTCTTCCCTAACCATCCTGTGCTGATTGAAGAAAGTTTGCCTTTTCCCGCATTGCTGCCTGATACCTTAAATGCCTGATACCTTTGCTGAGCTTGATCCCTTGTCCTTTGTGTTTAGTATCTAAGGAGAGAACTGAGAAATCATCCTAAAAGTGGCACCACTTTTCTATCTCATAACAAAGGAACCCTTCCTTTAGCTTTGTAGACCCTCCTATGCTGGAGGAAGGAGAGAGATGTTCATACAGGAGGTGAGGGAAGACATTCCCTGCTATAAGCACTTCTTTCTGGATCCTTCAATTTCTCTGGGAGGCGGGGACTTTTTCTTTTACTCCTCCTACCATTATGTAGTTTTGAGAGAGAAATAACACAGGTGCCAAGTAACCCAGCTCAGAAATAAGGCTCTTGATTTCTAGGTAGGACCCAAGCAATTCTTGACCTCTTGTGCAAAAGGGCATTAATAGATGTCAAATGCTGCTTATGTACAAGGCTTCATATACTATTTCTTTAATTTCTCCAACCACTTTATGAAGTAGGAAATCTTCCCTTTTTACAGATGAGGAAACTCAAGCCCACTGTCACGTGACAGAGTTGGGCTTTGAACCAAAGTCTGACTACTGCACCATGCGGCCTCCTGTGAGAATGATATGTGTGTTATGGGTGAAGAGTCAAAGGAAGAGATGACTCATCTCTTCTAAAATATATTAAATAAGTTCAATTTACAAAAAGTAGGACAATCAGAATGCTTTGGATATTACCTAGCCAACTTAGTGACTGTACTGCTTGTGAGTGAGTGTGTGTGTATGTGAGAAAGAGACAGACAGAGAAGTAGGGGAGAGGGACAGGCAGGATAAGAGAGAGTGGGGCATGGGGGAGAAGTGGGGGAGAGGTGGGTAGAGAGAGAGGTACAATATATACAGGGGTCGGGGTAGCCCCTTTGGGTCTGGCTGTGGGCCTTATTCTGCTGCTGTCTCTCCCCTACTTTAGAAGTTAGGATTTCTCAAATCCTCATCTTCAAAGGACTACAAAGGAGGTTACTGTAAAACTTAAAGAAAGCAAGATTGACTTGCCTTGACTATTCAAAATGAAATTAAACAAAAGCTCCTCAGTTGCATATAAATGTTCCTTGAGTCAGGTCCAGGTGGAGCTCTGTTTCGCAGATAGTGGGCCTGCCCTGTTTGGGCCTTTGACCTGCTAGCATGTCCTGGCTTGCCACTTGGAAGTGTTAGCGATAAACACAAGGAAGGGCATTCATCTCGCCCAAGGTGCAGCCTTTGCCTTTGGAACCACAGACCTAGTCTGAGCAGAGATTTCCCACATGAACTCATTGTATCTGCCTTCTGCCCAAAACTTGCCTGCTGCCTCTCACAGTTCCCATATTTCCCTGGAGGGAAGAGGGAGAAGGGACCTTTTTGCTCCAACTTTGAACATTTCCTCCATGTTCCATTCTACCCAGCAACTCCCTAATTTTTTATTTTGCATTTAAAGAATGAGATTTCCACTAAAACCCCAGTGGAAGGAGCTTCTCTCTGACTCACTGCTCCCCCCATTTGTTCTGGGCTCATGATTTATGTCCCATCACTCTGCTTTCAAGACTGAATTTTCTCAGGTTGAGAGCCTTTCATTTCCCTCTTTCCTCCTGAGCCCACCTGAGCCTTGTGTCTGGGTAGGATTATAGAACATGGAAACTTTCTCCTCCTTGCTTACAGCTTTCAGTTGTCTTTAAATGGAAAGTAGGAAAAGAAGTAGCGTCAGGATGGCATAATGTCTAAGAACATTATGCCTCTAGAGCCAGGCTGCTGGTGTTGAAATCCTGACTCTGCCACTTACTAGCTGTCTGATCTTAGGCAAATTGCCTAATCTCACTCAACTTCAATTTCCTCATCTGTAAAATGGGGTTAATAACAGTACCTACCTCACAGGGTTCTTGTGAAGACTTCAGAGCCAATCAGTAGAGTGTTTAGAACAGCACCTGGCACATAGTGCTCGAGCATGATGAGCTCTGCCTCCCCATCCAGCCTGCTTCCTTCTCCCCTGAAGTCATCCACTGATGACCCCCCTGAGTAAAGCTGAAGGAGAGAGGCTGCTGAGTCTTAGCTATGACTCTGGGTTTCATGACTGTATGAAAGAAGCTTCTCAGCAGCAAGGGAGAGAACACTTTTCTTTCAGACACTGGCACACCATTGAGAGGGACTGCAGTCAGAGCAGGGATCTGTGTGTGGCTCCACCTCGAATTTTAGGCCTGGTAAGGCTTGATTTTTGTGCTGCTATAGCTCCCACCTGCTCTGTGCTCATCTCTCAAAAGGGGATGAGTATCTGAAGAAGTGAATACATGAGGCGGGTCTGTTTTGCTTTTATTTCCCTGCAACCTGCAGTGGTGGTTTTGAAGTTTCCTAAGTAACAAGCTGGGAATTCCTCTGAAGAAGGGAGAGAATTGTTTGCCTTCTGCTACAGAAACGGGAGGCCTCAGGAAGAAGGGGTTCTTTTCCGTGAGCCAGCTGGAGGGCCCCAGAGAGCATTCTGCTCTGATTGGATACATCTTCCCAAGCTCTCTCCCACTGCAGGGTTTTCCTGACAGTGAAGTAATGGTTCAGATAACATTTGCTGCCCAATGCCCTAGAAGGGGAAATGACAAACAAGTTCAAGAGTGTTTTGGGCCGGGCACGGTGGCTCATGCCTGTAATCCCAGCACTTTGGGAGGCCGAGGTGGGCAGATCATGAGGTCAGGAGATCGAGACCATCCTGGCTAACACGGTGAAACCCCGTCTCTACTAAAAATACAAAAAATTAGCGGCGGGCACCTGTAGTCCCAGCTACTTGGGAGACTGAGGCAGGAGAATGGCATGAACCCGGGAGATGGAGCTTGCAGTGAGCCGAGATCGCGCCACTGCACTCCAGCCTGGGCAACAGAGCGAGACTCCGTCTCGAAAAAAAAAAAAGTTTTGTACCCTGCTACCTCATCCTATAATGAAAATCCAGCTACACTTGCTTAAAGTGTAAGCTGGTTTCTGTTGTGCTCATGCTGCCCTCTGCTGTCACGTCAGGGTAGAGGAACCAGTTAAAACAGCCAGTTCGTGAGTGAATTTAGGATTTACTTTTCTGAAAGACTTTGGAGAGCTGGGCAGGGGCCTGGGTTAGGAAAGGAAGAACTTCTACCCCCAACCCACTGCCCAAGGCCTGTCCTCAGTCCCTACCTAGCTTCTAGGGAAACTATTAAACAGCCCTAAAAGGATGCCTGGAAATGTTGTAGGATTTGGCAAACTCACCCACCTCAGAGTCCTGTCCCTAGAACTGTGGGAAACCATTTCCTCCTTTTATTAGGTCTCAGTTTCAGCTAACTAGAGGAGCTTTTCCGTTGACTTCAACCATGCCCTGGCTCAAGTTCACTCGCATATGTCCCTTTGCTCCCGGCGCTGGGTCAACTCCTGATTGCTCAGTAGGTAGTCATCAATGAATGTGAAGATTTCCTCGGGGGTGACAGGTTCCATGTAGCGGTCTCGGTCGATGCCCTGCTTGTCAATCAACACCATATTGAAGTAGGAGCGAGTGAGGCGCTGAAATTGCCTAGAGAGAGGAGCCCAGGGAGGTATGAGACCTTGTCTGGGCACCTATCCCCCCAGGCTCTACTACCCTCTGACTTTTTGCACCTCCACTCATGGACTAATTCCTTCCCCACCTCATCCCTGGTCCCCATCCCCTCTACTTCCTGTCTCAAGTCTCTTTGTTTTTCTGTGTTCAGACTCTACTCTTGCTGCCTCTATGCATCTAGTTCTGCTAAGCAGTCCCTTCCTCACCTCAGCTGCGACAGCTTTGTTATTAACAGGCAGTGCTTTCATTGTAGGCCCTTTTAAGCAGGGCTATCACATATTGCTGTGCAGGCTGCACAGGGTGACTCCAGGGGCCACCCGCTGCAGAGACTGTGCTGTGTATGCACATCATACATGGCAGTCCTTAGGTTGATAAATACCTTCTGGTTAACTCTTCCATCTGTAGCTGCAAGTCTGCAGTCTCCCTCTGAGTGTCTTCTAGTCTCTTCTCTAATTGGGACTGAATCTTTCTGTCCCCACTGAGACTGCGCTCTAGAGGCAGGTATAGTTTCTCTGTTGTTTAGAGGCACTGCTCTAAAACAGAGCAGTAATGGCTTTCTTGGCCCTGAATATATGTGAAGGTATTAGAAGGGTGATACTGGATAGATAATGAGAAAGACCCACTTCTTCCATTACCTGTCACCTCTAATGTTCTCTTCCCCTGGAGTTGATAGATATGACTCAGATTTCAGTGCTTAAAGATGCCTTTTGTGATGGGCATGGCAGCTCATGTCTGTAATCCCAGCAGTTTGGGAGGCCGAGGTGGGCAGAACACCTGAGGTCAGGAGTCTGAGACCAACCCGGCCAATATGGGGAAACCTGTCTCTACTAAAAATACAAAAATTAGCTGGGCATGGTGGCGCACACCTGTAATCCCAGCTACTCGGGAGGCTGAGGCAGGAGAATTGCTTGAACCTGGGAGGTGGAAGTTGCAGTGAGCTGAAATCGTGCCATTGCATTCCAGCCTAGGCGATAGGAGCAAAACTCCATCTCAAAAAAAAAAAAAAGATGCCTTTTGCTCCTTTGGAGACTGAAGGCAAAGAGATGAGGCCAGAAAACAAGAGCCGGGGCTTATCTGAGTCAAGTTTGGGTTTACTGTCTCAGCCCTGGCTGTGCTTCAGAGTCCCCTCAGGTGCCTTTGTAAAAGCACATTCCTAAGGTGGTGTAGGGTGGGCCTGGTCATCTGTATTTTAAGCCCTCATTTGATTCTGATGTTCTGCCAAAGTAAAGAACTCTCTGGTCTTACCTAATGCATCCATAAGAGTTCAAACACAAGAAGTGCCCCGAGAGAGTAGTGTCTGATGGTTCCCCAGTAGTCTGCTTTTGCCAGTGTCCTGCCTAAGGTTTCTCCCCCGGCCCCAGCCATCCTCCCCCACACCGCGCTTGGCAGCCTCCCAGCCTGGACCTGAGCTCCTCGATGATGTTGGCTGACAGCTGTTGCTCCCGGATGCGCCCCACCTCCTGAGGTGGCTGTCCCACCAGTTCAATGATGGTCACATGCCGCAAATCCAGTCCACAGGTGGATTGCTGGGAGGGAGAGAGAACATTTTACACAACAGGGCTGTGCGTTCAAACCTAAGGCTACTTGGCTGATTCCTCGTGGGACCACATGAAGCAGTGTGGGAAAGGAGCCCCTTCTCCCCCAGTGATCACGTAATCACGCTGTGGGGTCTACAACAACCTGTTCCCTGTGTCATTCCGGAAGTACTTGCCCCAACGGTGCTTCCTTCATTCTACTGAAACCAGTTCACAAAGTGGGATAGAGAAGAGAAATTCAATGACTAAATTGCAGGAACATAATCATTGTTTAAGTTTGCATAGGTTTTAAATTACATAAGTTCTTAATGAATAGCCAATGTGATATGATAATGGCTGTTGTTTATTGAATACACAAACCTAATGCTTTGTAGACGTAATCTAATCCTCACAACACCCCTCACAAGCCAGGTGGTGACAATAACATGCTGAGCCAAGATTCAAACTGAGGACTGATGCCCCCTGCCCAAGCATGTGCTCTTTACCAATAGGCTACCTGGCCAGGGCCTTCGCTCAGTCTCCAGGATTTCTCCAAAACTGTGCCCAGTGCTCTTTTCATTACCCCTTGTTACCTTCCTCGCACTGGGCAGCGCAGCTTGCAGTCCAACCCCGGATCTCCGTCCTGCCTTGTCTTGCAGGATTACCTACTAGCCAGTTACCAGGGTGAGGTTTAACGAGACCTTGAATACTCCCCAGCACCCCACCTCTGTTTCATCTTTGGGCTTCCCTTCTAGTCCTCACCCTCAGGGTCACTATGCTTGCTGACAGGTTCCTTTTCTTGTTCTTACTCCCTTGCTTCCAACTGAACTGTTGCCTTTGTCATCCTTTTTGGGTCTCTGGATGAATAAGGTCTTTTTGGTCTAGACCCTCCAGCTTTTTTTTTTTTTTTTTGTAAAACTACTTCCATCCTGGGCCCCTGAATATTCACTCGGCAACTTCTAAGATTCAACCTTTAGAAACCTCCTAAGTAGCTTTTTCCCCCACATGGGTATCCAGCCCCTTGCAGCTCCCCAGAGCTGCTTCTGTTAGTTTTGTCAGCATACCCTGAATTATCTTCAGTAACCTAGCCTGTTCTTTTATAAGTCCCCATAATCATATTTATTCTGTCCTATCGACCTCTCCCTACCAGTGGCTTTGGCTAGGTATCTCTTATGTTAAAAACTGTCATGCAACTCTCATTTTACTTTGAGATATCATAACGCTTTTCCTTCTTTTCTGCTACTGGTAGTGGCTAAGAGCACAGATTCTGCAGCCAGACTCCCTGTGTTCAATCCCAGCTCCACCACTTACTAGCTAGTGACCTTGGGCAAGTGACTTAATCTCTATGCATCAGTTTCCTCACCTATTTAATGGGGATAACAATAGTATCTACCTCCAAAGGGTTGTTGTGAGAATTGGATGAATATGTGTAAAACCCATAGATCAGTACTGGATACCTACATAGCACTTACTGCATAAGTGTTCGTTAGTGCTCTTATTCCTTGAAAACATAAACATAGTTAATTCCCAACATTTACATTTGATCATAGCTGTCTTGCAAGTCTCTTCAGAGTGCTTTGCCACACTCCCTTCCCATCTTTCACCCAGCTCCCTGCAAGTCACAGCCACCACTCCAGTGACTTTATTGCCTTTTCAGTAAAAGCAGTTTCAAAAATGTGCTAAATATGTCTATGGTAAGACTGATCAAATGCTATCCACAAAAAGTTTCAGGAAGTAGGTAAGGTTTGTGCTGCAGAGAACATCTCTGATTTGGAAAAGGTAAGGGGTAATTTACAGGAGATAAGCCCTCATTAGGGGAATGGGCCTTACCTGTAGCATAGAGATCTGCATTTTATAATATCGGTTGGAGGGATCAGGAGCTGAGATGATGAGGAGTCGCTGTTTCTCATAGAATTGATCCAGGAGACCAGCAGCTGAGTTGACATTGACGTTAATCTTCATAGCTAGGGCAGAAGCAGGTGACCAGTCAGAGTACGGCTTCTCCTCCATCCCAGCTTAGGTAACCTAACATCTTGAGGTGTTCCAGTCTTTCAGGTTACCTCTCTCTGGCTGTTTCTCCTGTCCCTTGGGGGAAATCCTAAAAGAACACTTGGAGATTTTAAACCCTTCTTCTTGGGGTAGGAGTAGTCTATGGGGGAATGTTAGTCTTTAAATTAGACACATCCCAGAACCCCCCATTTCCACATCATATACATTGTTACTGGACCCCTGTGCCATGACGAAGATCCTCCAAAGTTCCCCAGATCACCACGTCCACTTGCCCCTGTTTCACTCACGAGTACAGATTGGTGGTGAACCTGACCACTGGCGGCTGGATTGACAGACCCGGGAGGGTGTCCCCTGGCGATCATAACCGCCATCACAGTGGTATTCACAGGTGGCACCATAGTTGTCCCCTGCTGAGGTGCAGGTGAGGTAGCCGTGCTGCGGAGGTTTCAGACTTGGGCAGCGTCTCACTGTCAGGGAGGAGCTCAAGTTAGAAGTTATGGTGTTCCTTATAAGAAAGAAAGGCTAAGAGGGTGCCCATGCTGGGCTTTCTAGACCAGAAGACTTAGGATGATCAGAAAAATGGCCTTTCTATATTTCCAGTGGCTGGAGATGGAGCTGGAATTTTCCTTTCTTAAGGAATTAAATCTGAAATGCAGACAAAGGTTTGTAAAGTCTGGAAACACAGGTGAATATACATGTTGTCATCAAAAGACTGACAATCTTTAAAAGAAAATATTATCTGTTTCCAGACTTTATGGACATGCTGTGTAAAGATGACTACCTTGCAGAATTCCTCTTAATAGCAGAAATAAGTTGGAGGAATCTTAAATGTTCATTGGTAGGAGAAGGGTTTAGCAAATTATGATATATTCTTAGAATAGAATATTATGCTGTCATTAAAAATATTTCTGAAGAATTTTAAAATAACATGAGACAATTACTTTGTTAATGAAAAGTGAAAAGGATGATTTATGATTGGATATACAGTATAATCGCAACTATGTATTTTTTAAAGTATGTATAGAAAAAAGACTGGTAGGAAAATACCAAAAAGCTAATAGCAGTTGCCTCTGGATGATGGGGTAATACATTTTTCCCCTTTATATATTTCCTTATTTATCAAATGTTCAACAATAAGCATGAATTATCTTTATAATGAGAAAAGCAAAACAAAACAATACAACACAAAGCAAAGAGGAAGAATCAGGTAGCCAACACCACCAATTTTAGCAGAGGTGAATGATAGAATGAAGGCAGATTACATGTGATCATTTTGAAGTTTAAGAAGAGAAATGGATAAAGAATATCCTTGTGAATTTTATCTGGATTTAGGATAACGAGAGTCTTGTTGATGAGAGTCTTGTTGGAGAGTCAAGGTTTCAGAAACATGTGTATGCACATGTAATGTTGGCTTCCTAAATAAGCCTGTTTGGTGAACTTGTTTTTCTCCCTCCCCAGTATAAATGAGGTGTGTCTCTTCCAGGCATAGAGAGGAGAGACATAGGGTGGGTCAGGGTAGAGCAGGATTAATGAACAATATGGAAACTAAAGAATTCTTTCTGACCTTGTACTTTCACAATGAACTTGCAGCTGGCCCGATTGTAGGCTCGGTCATAGGCAGTGTAACGAATCACGTGCTCCCCTTCAGGAAAGTGAGAGCCAGGCTCAGGGCCCCGAAGTGTCACTCTGCATGGGACAGGGTGAAAGAAACACTGAGGAAAGAAACCCTTAGAATTGAAGTCTGAGGCACATCCCCACTGTCACCTTAGCCTGTGCAGTTTCAGTGTGACCAGCCTGAATGACTGAGAGGAGCCGAGGGAAGGCATAAGCGGCATCCATTATTCAGGCTCACCTGGTGATGGTACCATCAGCAGAATCTTTCACCAATGGCGGGTCCCAGTATACTCGAGCAGTCAATTTCTCTGGCTCTGCCATCTTCTCACGTGAGTGGGGACAGCGGATCTTGGGGGGATCTATGTCTGCCAAGGTGAAAAATCAAGTGCTGACTCGTGGGCCCCCTGCTTTCCCTGGAGGGAATCCATTGAAGCAGTGCCACACACCACACACCACACGCTGGGTAGGTAAAAAGTTCAAGGTGCTCAAGGAAACTGGGGAAGGAAGCCCAACTCCAGGGGAGAAGATCATTTTGTTCAGCAAATACCCAGGGTGCTACCCTCATAGCTAAGAAGAATGCCTTCTGTGGTGAGAATTCCACATCTCTTGTCGATATAATGCTGAGGTGGCTCTTTGCACCAGGACAACTGGGAGCAACCAGCATTTACCTACACATACAGGCTCGCCTCCACTCCATCTCCCATCTTCCATGCAGATTCGGCTGCGATCACCTTCCAGGTGGTAGCCACTGGAACAGCTATAGTCACAGCGAGAGTCAAGAAGCACTCCATTTGTGCAGGTGTAAGTGCCACTAGTGATGAATGGCAGTGCGTGGCATCTCATCTCTAAGAGAAAACCAAGTGGCAAGCTCAGTGGCTTGTGCAACTATGTGGAGGTGATGTCTGGGCATCTAGCACAGGGAGAAACGTATCAGAGAGAGCAGAAAATACAAAAACCCTACCTGAACTGCCCTTACATTTTTGTGCCTAACTGCCTTTTCCCCTAATTGTCTTTGTATTTTCGTAAAGTATAGCAGCACCCTTGGGCAGAGGGGTGTCAAAAAAGTAAATTACTTGTCCAACCATATAGACTTCAAAATCAGACCTAACATTGTACATTGCCAAAATCCATAGAATATGCAACAAGAGTGGGCCTTAATGTAAACTATGGAATTCAGGTGACAATGATATATTAATGTATGCTCATTCAACTGTAAAAAGTGTAACACTCTGGTGGGAGATGTTGACAACAGGGGAAGCTGTACATGTGTGGGTGCAGGGGATAAATGGGAAATATCTATATCTTTCATTCAATTTTGCTGTGAACTTAAAACTTCTCTAAACAAATAGAATCTATTTTAGAGGGGGAAGTAAAACAACTTATCAAGAGTCAAAAAAAAAAATCAGACCTGAGTTTGCATCCCAGTTCCACTTCTTACTAGCTCTGTAACTTTAAGAAGTTGCCTCATCTCTTTGAGTCTCAGTGTTTTCTTCAGTGAAATGTGGATACCTCATAGGATTGTTGTATAAATTAAAAGAAACAATGCATATATCCTCTGGGCTCATTTAGGGCCTTAGCAACTGAGAATTTTTGTCTCTTATTCCTCAAATGCTAGATGCCCTTGAGCACGATCAAAGCTGCTTTTCTCCTCCAGGCAATACTCATATAATTTTGGGGCTCCCTTAGGCACTGCTCAGCTGAGGCTCACTTACATGCCAACTTGGGCTGACTGGGCAAGAATACAAGTCAGAGCAGTGCCTGGAGGGCCAGGTGTGGTATTTGGTAAAAGAGGAATCCATGTGCCTTGGACACCACATGTGGCAGAGGTGGAGCCTGTCACCATGGATTAATTGTGAGCCTATGCTTGCTAAAGTCTTGTTGGAGATACCTGATACTTGAGAGAAGGAGGCCATATATTCCTTTAGGTTGTCTAACTTCTAATTCTGACTAAGTTCAATTGTTGAAGCTTTGAATAAAGATCTGTATTAGCTATATTCATTCTGTTTCTTGGCAAACCAGACTTAAAGATTATTGCATTTTCTGTTTTCCAGTGTCCCTTTGTAAAGACCTATGCAAAAATGACCTTCTTGAAATCAGGGCGAAGACAAAAGATTTGTCTCTTCAGATGAATGTGTTTGCTTAGTATCATATGACAGGAAATATGATAGATCCAAAGCATTTGCCCTTTTGTCTCTTATGAGGAAAGTCAAAGCCAGATTCAATGCTCAAATGTAGTAATTGACTCATTGTAGGCACCTGGAAATATGTATGTCACCATTCCTTTTTTTTTTTTTTTTTTTTTAAGATGGAGTCTCGCTCTGCCGCCCAGGCTGGAGTGCAGTGGCGCGATCTCGGCTCGCTGCAAGCTCCGCCTCCCGGGTTCACGCCATTCTCCTGCCTCAGCCTCCCGAGTAGCCGGGACCACAGGCGCCTGCCACTACGCCCGGCCAATTTTTTTGTATTTTTAGTAGAGACAGGGTTTCACTGTGTTAGCCAGGATGGTCTCGATCTCCTGACCTCGTGATCCGCCCACCTCAGCCTCCCCAGTAGCTGGGACTACAGGCGTGAGCCACCGCGCCCGGCCACCATTCTTTTAATTGATTTTATGTTCACTTGTACTTTACAGCTCTGTATTTTTCAATTGTATCAGACCGATTCAAATTCCTGTTGAAAATGATGGGATCTAAGTCCTGAAACAATTTAATTCCAGTCACCGAGAGGGGTGTGGTGACTGCCTGCTTTCTGGCTATCAAGCTTCTCTTCTCCTCTACAGCATCTTCTCTGACTAGCCCCATTTCTATATGAATGCTCAGCACTTCTGCATCCAGTTACATGACATTCATGTGCACACATTTGTGTTTCTATCCCATTCATCTATAAGCAGCCTGGGAGTATTTGAAGAATTGAGTAATACAGGAAGTGACCAATACAGGGCTGTGCATACATGGGTGTCCTACAAATGGTGTTCTGCCATGGACATATGGACAGGAAAAGCTCAGCTGCTGAAAGGCTGTGGAACTTGAGTAAGAGGTAGAGATTTGGAAGCTGAAGGGGGAAATGATTTGGAATGTGTATATATCAGCATTTTCACATTCTAGACTTAGGGATTTTTCTTCTGACTTTCAGAAGAAAATGAAGAATAGCAGATGTTTCATAGCTTCACTGCCAAGGTCTTCAAGGCTATAGGCCAGGAAGTACAGCAGTTGACCACAAGTGGAAAAGAGTCTAAGACCACACGTCCTTAGGAGCTCCAGAAGAAGATCTAGGTCCACATCAGACCTCAGGCCCAAGCCTTCGCTCTGGCTGTGCACTCCTGGGCTCCCCGAGTCAGAAGAGATGGTTGCTCCTTAAATGCTCATATTGCTTGGACAGTAGCCCAGAGAAACTGAACTCGAATGTTAGGATGGGGAAAGGCCCTGCTGGGGGGCTTGTGGAATATTCTCAATTTGCACTTGAGAGAAGGGCATATTAGTAACACCTCCAGGCATATACCCTCAGCAGCTGGCTGGCTGGCTTCTCTCGAATACATGCATCAGCATATGCACACACACAACTTACGCCTGCAGTAGGCAGTTCCAGACCAGCGACGGCTTGGCAGGCATTGCACCGACCTTCTTCCAATCAGTCGAAAGCCCCGGTCACAGGAGAGCTCACAACGTGTGCCCAGGCTGCTGTGATAATTTCCTCCCCTCGGTGAGTAGCATGTGGCTTCTCCATCCTGAATATTTAATGTATAACACCATCGGGGGACTGTAGCAATAGAAGAAAGACAAGCTAGAAGTACAGTAATCAAGACAGTGTGGTGTTGGTGAAAAGACAGACAAATAGGTCAATGAAAAAAAATAGCCCAGAAGTAAACCCACACAGGTGTGTTGAAATTATTTTTGACAGAAGTGCAAAAACAATTCAGTGGAAGAAAGCCTTCAGACAAATGGTGCTGGAGCACTTGTACTTCCATATGCAAAAAAAAAAACCCCACCTCAACCTAAGTCTCACACCTTATACAAAAATTAACTCAAACGGGATCATGGACTTGAAAAAACAGGAGAAAGTCACCGGGATTTAGGGCTAAGCAAAGTGGTCTTAGGTATGATACCAACAGCACAAATAATAAAAGAAAAATTAAATTTTTTTTTTTTTTTTTTTTTGACGGAGTCTCGCTCTCGCCCAGGCTGGAGTGCAGTGGTGCAATCTCGGCTCACTGCAAACTCCACCTCCTGCGTTCACCCCATTCTCCTGCGTCAGCCTCCCGAGCATCTGGGACTATAGGCGCCCGCCATCATGCCCGGCTAATTTTTTGTATTTTAGTAGAGATGGGGTTTCACCGTGTTAGCCAGGATGGTCTCGATCTCCTGACCTCGTGATCTGCCCGCCTCGGCCTCCCAAAGTGCTGGGATTACAGGCGTGAGCCACTGTGCCCGGCCAGAAAAATTAGATTTTAATAAATTAATGAATTAATAAATTGGACCTTGTCAAAATTAAAAATTGCTCTGCGAAAAGACAAAGCCATAAAAAGGGACTAGTATTTAAAATATAGAAAGAACTCTCAAAACATTGAAAAAGCAAACAGTCCAGTTAGAATATGGACAAAAGATATAAACACACATGGCACTGAAGAGGATATACCGATGGCAAATAAGCACATAAAAAGATGTTCAGCATCATTAATCATTTGGGAAATGCAAATTAAAATCAAAATGAAATACCACCTATATATCCATCAGGGAGGGTATCCTTTAAAAAAAAAACGGGTAATACCAAGTGTTTGTGAAGATGGAGAGAAACTGGAATTCTCATACATGTCTGGTGGAAATGCAGAAATACAGCCACTTGGAAAATATTTTGGCTATTTCTTATAAAGGTAACACGATACCTTCTTATAAAGAAAGGTACACTTACCATATGACTCTGCAATACCACTTAAAGGTATTTATGCCAGTGAAATAAAAACCTGTGTCCACACAAAATCCTGTACATGAGAGTTAAAAGTAGCTCTATTCATAATTGCCAAAAGCTGGAAACAACTCAAATCTCAATTTTTTTTTTTTTTTTTTTTTTCAAGACAGAGTCTCCCTCTGTCGCCTGCAGTGGTGCAATCTTGGCTCACGGCAACCTCCGCCTCCCGAGTTCAAGCTTGATTCTCCTGCCTCAGCCTCCCCAGTAGCTGGGACTACAGGCGTGCGCCACCACGCCCAGCTAATTTTTGTATTTAATTTTTGTATTTTTAGTAGAGATGGGGATTCACCTTGTTGGCTAGAATGGTCTCGATCTCTTGACTTCTTAATCTGCTCGCCTTGGCCTCCCAAAGTGCTGGGATCACAGGCATGAGCCACCGCACCCGGCCTCAAATGTCTTTCTACGGGTGAATGGCTGAACTAACTGGTGTATTCATACAAAAGAATGAAGTGCTGATACATGATGCAACAACATCAATCAATCTCAAATGTATTTTGGGAAGTGAAAGAAGCCAGACTCAAAAAACTACATACTGTAGAATTCCATTTATATAACAAAAATATAGGGACATAGGCAAAAATACAGTGACAGAGTACAGATCAGTGTTTGCCAGAGATTAGGGGTAGAGGTAGGGAATAACATCAGAGGGGAAGCGCTGGGCAAGAGTTTGAAGTGATGGAACTGTTTCATACTGTGGTGGGAGTTATGTGACCCTATGCATTTGTCAAAACTCACAGAACTGTACACCAAAAAGAGTGAGTTTTTCTGTGTGTATGTTTAACATAAAAATTTAAAGGATAATACAAAAATGTAAACTAGAGAGAGGAAGGGAATGTGACATCAAAGAAGGCTTCTTTGGAATGAAAGTCTAATCCCAGTTCAGTACTGAGCACAAAAGGTTATAGGGCTGTTAAATCATAAAGGCATCATAAAGATGCCTCACAGGCTATACAAAATAACTGACTCTTTAGTGGGTTCAGAGTTTAAAGGGGCACATAAAAACAAGCAGAGAGCCACCTGCCCAAGGATGCACACACACAGCATGGCATGGGTCTGTTAGCCTAGGGTTGGGAAGGCTAAAGCCCCATATGAGTTGATTCAGTTCCCACATCCTAAGGGACATTCAGTTCCCACATCCTAAGGGACAAAGAAAAGGGGGGAGCTTTGAAAAAAAAAGTAGATGAGACACCAAAGGAACAAAGAAAAGCTAGAGCCTCTTTCTGAGTGCAACTGGAGAATGAAGACAGATGACAGTGAGAAATCTTTTCTTCAGTAAACACTACTCTTGGGGCTACCAGCATTACTTTTGAACCTGTGGCAGTGACACATGGCTGCCATCTGGAGACACCATCTCCAAATTACAGAAAGTCTTTTAAGCACTACAGTTGCAGAGCTGTTGATTATAAGGCCACAACACATATCACAAAGATCTTACTTGGCAGGCTGGGACCTCAACAATCACGCCCATTCTATATCTCTCCCACAGTCTGTCAAGGAAAATACACATCAGATTGGAATGGGTAGAATAAGTAAGAACGGTAAAGGGAAATATAAAGGTCAGGCTAAATGCTGAGACAGTAGAAGAGGCCCCAACTATTGTAAATAAGTTCAAATTTTCTGACCCAGAAAAAGTCCTGGCATAAAGACAAAAACGTTGAAAGGCTGGAGAGGAGCAAACACAATCTCAGTTTTCAAATAAGGAAGAAGTCTCTGGGAGCTATAGCCTAGTGACATTGACAGCACTGATAGCATAGTGTTCTAGAATATTTAAACGTAGGGCGTATGCGTTACACAGAGAAGTAGTGATCTCCAGGAACCCTCTGGAACAAGTAATTCCAGATTGACCTAATTTCCTGTTTGGGCAGGGTCACCAGACTGGTAGAGCAGGGGAAATAGTGGATACACTATGTGGAAGTAAGTGAGGCATGTGACAATGCTTTTCATGTCATTGATGTGGATGAGATGAAATACAGGAGAGGTGACAATACGGTTAAAATTTCATAAGTGGCTGAGCAACTGTACCCAAAGAATGCCCATGGGAAGCTGATCGAGGATGTGGTTAAAAGAAATCAAGAAGGCAATTCCATTTACAATAGCTACAAAGAAATCTAGAAATAAACTTAACCAAAGAAGTGAAAACCTATACACTGAAAATTATAAAACATTGATGAAAGAAATTAAAGAGGACACAAAAAATAGATATCCCGTGTTCATGGATCAGAAGAATTAATATTGTTAAAATGACCATATTGCTCAAAGCAATTTACAGATTCAATGCAATTTCTATCAAAATACCAACATCATTTTTCACAGAAATAGAAAAAGCAATCCTAAAATTCATATGGAACTAAAAAAGAGCCAGAATAGCCAAAGCAATCCTGAGCAAAAAAAAAAAAAAAGAAAAAAGCTAGAGGCATCACATTACCTGACGTCAAAATATATTGTAAGGCTATAGTAACCAAAACAACACGGTATTGGTATAAAAATAGATATATAGATCAATGGAACAGAATAGGAAACCCAGAAATAAATTCATTTATTTATAGCCAACTGATCTTTGACAAGGCCATCAAGAACATACACTGGGGAAAGGACATTCTCTTCAATAAATGCTGCTTAGAAAACTAGATAACCTTTTACAGAATAATGAAATTGGACCCCCATCTCTCATATCCAAAAATTTACTCAAGATGGAGTAAAAACTTAAATGTAAGACCCAGAAGTACAAAATTACTAGAAGAAAACATAGGGAAAACTCTTCAGGATATTGGTCTAGGCAACAATTTTATGGTTAAGACCTCAAAAGCACAGGAAACAGAAACAAAAATAGACCAAGAGGACTATATTAAACTAAAAGGCTCCTGCACAGCAAAACAACAACAACAAACAACCGAGTGAAGAGACAACCTCTTGAATGGGAGAAAATATTTGCAAACTACTTATCCATCAGGGGACTAATAATGTCCAGTATATACAAGGAACTCGAACAACTCAACAGTAGAAAAACAAATAATTCCACTAAAAAAATTGGGCAAATGACACGAGTAGATATTTCTCAAAAGAGGACACACAAATGGCCAACAGATATATGAAAAAATGCTCAACATCACTAATCATCAGGGAGATGCAAATCAAAATCACACAATGAGATATCATCTCACCCCAGTTAAAATGGCTATTATTAAAAAGTCCAGGTGCAGTGGCTCATGCCTGTAATCCCAGGACTCTGGGAGGCCTATGCAGGTGGATCACTTGAGGTCAGGAGTTTGAGACCAGCCTGGCCAACATGGTGAAATCCCGTCTCTACTAAAAATAAAAAAATTAGCCGGGCATGGTGGTGGGCGCATGTAATCCCAGCAACTCGGGAGGTTGCGGCAGAAGAATTGCTTGAACCCAGGAGGTGGAGGTTGCAGTGAGCCAAGATCATGCCATTGCACTCCATCCTGGGGGACTGAGTGAGACTCTGTCTTTAAAAAAAAAAAAATAAAAAAAAAAAAAAGACATAAATAACAGATGCTGGCCAGGATGCAGAGAAAAGGGAACCATACATTGTTGATGAGAATGTAAATTAATATAATCACTAAGGAAAAGAGTATGGAAATTTCTTAAAAAATGAAAACTAGCTGGGCGTGGTGGCTCACACCTGTAATCCCAGCACTTTGGGAGGCCAAGGCAGGTGGATCACCTGAGGTCAGGAGTTCGAGACCAGCCTGGCCAACATGGTGAAACTGTTTCTACTAAAAATACAGAAATTAGCTGGGCGTGGTGGCAGGTGCCTGTAATCCCAGCTACTG